TTGCATATCTATCATATTACTTTTTATATTCTACTTCATTTTACTTTTATTTTTCTCATTATTTATATAGTTCATTTCTCACTTTAACAGTATATTGGAATTATTCACAAAAACATATACAAGCCCGGTGTTTAATTTTGAGGTGTTTGCTATAAGATGAAAGTTTCAATAACAACTTATATAATTATGATATAAACAAAACCTCTAGTATACCTACATTTATTGAGATCCATGATTAAATTTGGAAGTCTTGTTACTAGACCTAATGCCAAACCAATACTGTGAAAATCCTTCTTGGTTTGTTCAAGGAAGTTGAAACCGGTAACCTTCTCTTTATGCAATATTTCAAAATGTGACTCTGTGAATTTTAAATCCTTACTTTACAAATATTCAATTAGCTTTTTGATGTTCTATTTTTTAAGTACGTTTGCCACCTCATGAACAGGCTCTTCGTCAGAGGAAAAGCTTGAGGGTGAGAATGATATTGAAAACATTTTCTTAAAATCAATTACTGTGCCTAGATTTATAATCTAAAAGACCTTAAAAGTATTCGTATTAACTGGTTTTTACTACTGTGTCTATGGAAACATTATTACGTAACAATGATATATAACAATGATCTCTGTTCACGTACTTTATTATTCTACTAGTACTCTTCAAATAGGTGACCCTTAGACCAACATGTACATAAGCAGAATTAAGTCAGTCAGGAGTTAACTGAGTCTAGGGTTGTTAAAGACTATAATCAAATTATAGGATCGATCAAATTGAATCATTAAAGGACTTAAGTATTATTAATGTACTGTTATTAATTAAATTAAAAAAAACATGCATAATTAATTTTTTTTTTAAACATAATCTCTATTTTCATTAGGGCTCTTAATAAGTCAAGCCAAGTTGTCTTTAGAGCTTTTTTTAAATATTTTTTTTGGGGGGTTTTCCCTCATAGGTAAGCATCATTTCTTTATTTGATATTATATATAATATGATATACATCGTGAAAGAAACAACATCTTTTACGTACATATTGTTACAGTAAAATACGGCAAGTCTGTCGCTTCTGTTCTGTCTACGCCATACTACGTTGGAGAATGGTTTCTCCTCAAAAGAGACGTGTATATTTGG